GACGAAGTCCCATTCGTCATCTTCAGGCTGGTGTTTTCGGCTTTGTGCTTCTAGGAGCATGAAGCCGAAAACACCAGCCTGAAGACGACGAATGGGACTAGCATGAAGCCGAAAACACCAGCCTGAAGATGACAAATGGGACTTCATCGAAACACTACCAAGACACTTCCAATTTTACGCGGGAGAAAACCCAAATAACCAAAGATAGATAGATAGATAGATAGATAGATAGATAGATAGATAGATAGATAGATAGATAGATAGATAGATATCTTTGGTTATTTGGGTTTTCTCCCGCGTATATATATATATATGACTCCACCAGCCTCCAGGGGAACCCCACTGAATTGGCTGAGATTTTCCTCTGTGTGAATGGGTGTGGGACTCAGTTGCTTGCCTTTAGCATCCAGCTCCTGGCTGAGGATATTAAATAGCTCAATGAGAGGACCTCTTGCTTGCAAAAGGAATAGGCATTCAATCTTAAGGTGGGCTACCTCCTGCCCTGGGACCCTAAGGTATCCTTCAAAACCCAGGATGCTTGGCTCGGGGCCCCTGCAGTGGGCATGTTTTGTACAGCCTCTGCCTTTCAGCTTAAGCAAAATAACATTTGCCATCACCGTGACTGATGTATTTACGGATGGTCCTGGCTAACATCATTTGATAATCAAGTTTCTCTCCTCTTTGCGAGGTCTGGCTTCTTTGAGACGGCTGAAAAGCCCCTTTATTTTGCAGAAATTAGCTGAAACATCCGGAGGCATGCTGTGTCCTCTTGAAATGCTCACATTTCATTTGATTGCGGCTGTTAATATTTCAAAGATAAAGCAAGGCCCCTCCCCTTCTGAGGGGGATTTAGCATTTGTGTGAACTCCCCACACCCCAACAAAACTGAGTGGATCTAAGATAGAAAAGGAGGGGTGGGTGAATTTCAGGATACTGAACAGAGTTTGGAAAAAAACAAGATTTGTGCGGAGAAAGCCTATTATTCAGTGTGGAAAATCATATTAAATCTCTGCCAAGGCTCAAGTAGACTTCGGCTTACATGCAGGTTTGCACTAATATGACCCCTCCCTCCCTTCCTCCTCCTCCTCCTCCTCCTCCTCCTCCTCCTCCTCCTCCTTCTCTCTCTCTCTCTCTCTCTCTCTTTCTCTATCTCCCTCTGCATATCTTGACTGAAATGGCAGCTAATAGGAGAGAAATTAACCTTTCTTACTTGGTAGAGACCTAAATAAAATTACTCTTTTGAAGCTCATGTGAAGAACTGCACATGATCACAAATAAAACAGCAAGGTTACCACCTGTTGATCACACATCTAGCAAAGTTTTCCTATCTTTTTAATAAGACTTTCAGGAAACACTTGTTCTATATTTGTGGATTAGAGCTGGGTCAGACTAGCATCCACCAAGAATCCTAACATCATCAATGTAACTTAAATGTGCTTGGCTACTCTAAGGGTCAATGGGTGTTCATATCCAGGCAATTTTAATTCCATTATTACATGGTATTATTTTTTTTAAGGGAATATTGATAAATTGGGTTCATAGATAACCCTGGTGTTTCAACAAGTTTCTTTATTCTTTAGTGGAAATCTGCTTCTCTGTTTATGCATCTTATTTATCTCGGGAGCTATAAACAACAGAGAACAGAAGACACCTAAGGAAGATTTACTATGCTATGACATCTGTTACTCTGAATGATGTTTCCATCCCAGATAAGCAGGATCAGACTAGATAGGGTTTGTATGTAATACAGCGGGAAATAGCAACAGCAGTAGCACTTAGACCAGTGGTTCTCAACCTGTGGGTCAGGACCCCATTTGGGGTCAAACGACCATTTCACCGGGGTCGCCAAACAACGCAGTCCACCATTTTTTCCCCCTTTTCCTTAGCTGTGCTACTCTCTTTTATTCTATTGGCTTTTGAAAGCCAATAGAATAGACTCTCTTGAATAGAGTCTAATTCTATTGGCTTTCAAAAGCCAATAGGAATTGTCCAGGCTGTCTCTGTCCTGCTGAGCCCACCAAAAGTCCCATTCTGCAAACGGTGCTGCACCAGTTGAGTAGTCCTCGACTTATGACCGGTTGGGGGTCGCGGCATTAAAAAGGTTGAGAACCACTGACTTAGATTTATATACCACTTCATAGTGCTTTACAACCCTCTTTAAGCAGTTTAAAGAGTCAGTCTCTTGCCTCCAACAATCGGGGTCCTCATTTTACCGGTCTCAAAAAGATGGAAGGTTGAGTCAACTTTGAGCCAGTCAGGATCGAACTCCAGACTGTGGGCAGAAACAGTGGCATCCTAACCACTGTGCCACTACCAATATCTCACTAGAAGGCAGAAGCCAAACACTTCTGTTTTGTTGTCAGAAAAACCAGAACTTATCAGAAGTCAATGTCTGGATTATACAGCTCTAGGATTGCCTGTCCTATGAAGCAATCTCATTCTCTTCCTTTGGAGGCAAGTTCTACCATACGTAGGGTTGTCGTGTTAATTGGAATGCTGAAAGATAATTGGATCATATTTTTTATATCTGTCAGGGAGGCATGGTTTATAATGATATGACGATAAACCCAGTTCTGGTTCTGGAAACCAATTCCCACGTTCATGTTTTCTTCAGACTGCCTTGTCGTGACGCTATCCTGCCACAGCCATCCTGTGGCAATTGTCTGGTTACTGTAATTTTTGAATTAAGAAAATCGGGGTAAATCATGATAGACAAATCATGATGAAGATAGTTATTAGCATATTTGTCATGTGAGCACAGACCACCTATAGCCAAATGCTTGAGCACTCAATTCAAATTGGGCCTTGAGCCTCTAACAAAAGACATAACATAATTAGTCTGAAGTCTGTCTGCTACTATCCAAAGAAAGCTTACCTGTTTCCTTGCATGGAAGGGGCGGGAGTGATAAACCCAGGGAATTGATAAGGCTAATCTTTTTTGGCATGGATGTGTAGAGGATCCTATCTCGGAGCAAAACATTCAGATCTCGCTTGATGTGCTTCAAATAGTTCTTTATTCCAGGCCAGGATCATTTTTTGTTAAAAGAACAAAACCAAGGGGTCTGTTCCGACAGATACTTTCAATTTCCTGGCTATTCTGACTTAGCTCAGTGGTAAGAGACCAATTAAAAGACGCTTGCTCCTGGGGAGGAAAACTATGGCAAATCTAGACAGCATACTAAAAAGCAGAGACATCACCCTGCCAACAAAAGTACTTATAGTCAAGGCCATGGTTTTCCCAGTTGCAATGTATGGCTGTGAGAGTTGGACCATAAGAAAAGCTGAGCACCAAAGAATTGAGGCCTTTGAACTACGGTGCTGGAGAAGACTCCTGTGAGTCCCCTGGACTGCAAGGCGATCAACTGGTCAGTCCTAGGGGAGATCAACCCCAACTGGTCTTTAGAAGGCCAGATCCTGAAGTTGAAACTCAAGTACTTTGGCCACCTAATGAGAAGGAAGGACTCACTGGAGAAGAGCCTAATGCTGGGAAAGATTGAGGGCAATAGAAGAAGGGGACGACAGAGAAGGAGGTGGCTGGATGGAGTCACTGAAGCAGTAGGTGTGAGCTTAAAGGGACTCCAGAAGATGGTAGAGGACAGGAAGGACTGGAGGAACGTTGTCCATGGGGTTGCAATGGGTCGGACACGACTTCGCAACTAACAACAACAAAGAGGCCCCTATACAGGACACTTCCTGAAGGGTTGATGAAGCTTGCTCAGATCTCGATACCTCTGATCCGACAATAATATGCCCTAGCTGAAACTGGCCACATTTCACTGAAGATATCCAAGATATGTTCTATTGTTTGTGGAAGAATGCATAAAAAATAGGACAGTTCCATAGCCAATTATAGTGTTCCCAAATGTGGGGAAAAAAAACATTTATCCTTCTAAGAATCACATCAAAACAGCTGTTGGGCAGGCTGGTTAACAAAACAGCTAAAATCACAAGATTCCCCAAAAGACTTCATTTATATTATTTATAATCTCTATAATATTTATTTATGTTCATATTTATATTGGCACCAGTTGGGTTTAGTGGTTAAGGCACCAGGCTAGTGGTTAAGGCACCAGGAGATTGGGAGTTCTAGTTCTACCCTAGTTATGAAAGCTGGCTGGGTGATCTTGGGCCAGCCAATCTGTGTTTGCCATCTTGAGTTATTTGTAAAAATAATAACGGTGGACTACAAATACAATAAATAAATAAATAAAATACATACTGTGAGACCAGGGGATTCAGAAATGTAGAATTTAAAGCTGAAAGTTTTTGCCACCAGTTTTGGACACAAGCAACTGAGAAAAGTGTTGTGTTGCTGAACTGACTTCACACCACACAGGATGTCTTCGCAACCAACCAACCAACCAAGCAAACGGAATGGTACAATATCAGGTTGTTTTGGAACCCGGGTTAATAGTTGCATGGGAAAGTACCAGAAACTCAGGGCTCTAGATTAGAACCAGGAAGTTGAAGAAATATTCTGGAAGCTAGCAGTGGCAGATCACTTCCATCTCCTTTAGAGTTATGCCCCTAAATTTGTTAGGAATCTACTTAAGTTTGAAGAAGACTTGACTCTACTAAATCATGTGCCCGTAATTCCAGAAATTGCTGTTCTTTCGAGTCCAGTTAAATGTCTATGGAGATTCCAGGTCTGTCCCGAAGCTGCTTTTCCAAAAGGCAACTGGTTTTTCTTGGTGGTTTTTTTTTTTCTCTTTGAAAACATTTCCTTTCTCTTCCAAGAAGCTTCTTCTGTTCAGTTCAGCTCACCGAAGAAGCTTCTTTGATGAGAAGCGAAAAAAGGTAAAACAAAAACCAAGAAAATCCAATTGCTTTTGGGGAAAGCACCTTTGGAATAAGAGTTGTGTTCTTCTTTAGAAGAATGGCCATCACTTGATGAACCAAGTTCTTTCAAAATCCTTAAAGACAACATGTATTCATACACATACACACACATACACACATAGTAATTTTCTCACATTGGCTACAAAGAGCTCCACACCACATTTTTAGGCACTTTTTATTGTCAAAAATTGTTTGTCTTTTTATATATATAAACCATTTCATCAATATCTTTCAACAAGAATATCGCTGTTTGCTTGATCATTTGCATAGGATATGTCACCATACCAAAAAAAAAAAAAAAAAAAAATAAGGAGAGGGAAGAAAAAAGAGAGGTCTTGAAAGGAAGCAGCAAAACAGCAACCAATATGCTCGAGTTTCTGTAGGTTTTTTTTTTTTCAGGATTAAACTTTTGAAGCCTTACAAAAAATATGTACATCATCTATTTACAATTTAGAGGAACGCTTAAAAAAAAACCTATAACAAACCATTTTTTTTTAATTTATCAAGTCTATGGAAAATTGTTTCCTAAAAAATTTCTACCATATACCACAAAAATAAATAAAAGATGCAAACACTAGTTTGAACAAAGTTTTGCTGTGAGCTTTTTTCTTTTTTTGGCATGTCAGTTATTTAATTTTCTTTTTTTTTTTTTACCCTTTGGTTGATAGCATGGTATTACAGTTTAATAACTGTGGTCCAAAATATCCATCTATACCCATGCGATGACTTTTGAGAACTGTACAGGTTACAACCTGCTCTGTCTTCACCCACTGTACCACAGCTATGCCTAAAAGAAGGAATCCTATTCCTTAGACTGAACCTGGGAACAAAGAGTGGATCAGCTCTCAAGATCTTTCAATCCTAAGAAACTATAGCTGAAATTCTATACATATTCCCTAAGAAGACTTGAGTCAAGATAAACAAGATAGCAAGAGCTAGCAAGAGCAACAGCACTTAGACTTATATACCGCTTCACAGTGCTTTATAGCCCTCTTTAAGCAGTATACAGAATCAACATATTGCCGCCCCAACAATTTGGGTCCTCATTTTACCAACCATGGAAGGATAGAAGGTTGAATCAACCATCAGCCGGTGAGAATTGAACTGCTGGCAGTCGGCAGAATTAGCCTGCAATACTGCATTCTAATCACTGTGCCATCACAGATAAAAAGACTGGGTTACACCAGAGTTAACAAATTAGCAAGACTGAAGCCGTGTTCACGACCGCTCTGTTTATAGGAGACACTAAGCCAAAATAAAAGACCTAGGTTCACACAAGCCATGTATCTTTGGTTTTGGCTTAGCCATTCTCTTTTATAATATGGTTGGGAATATTCTACTAACACAGGCTGAGTGTTCTTCTATTGTCTTCTGATCTGGGACAGCTTGTTCATCAAACATCAGGACGGGGAAAAATTAGTACATAAGGAGTCTGGATCCTAAGCATCCTTTCATAGGATCCACCTGAATTGCTTATTTATGCTGCAAAACATTTAGCAATATTGTGCAGATGGACCCTCTCACTTTCCACTCTTCATCCTATAGTAGGAATCAAACATTTGGGCCAACAAAGGGTAAAGCTTAAAAACTGAGGGTTTCTAACTCTTTCTGAAGAAATCTGAAAAAAGTATCAAACGATTATGAAAACGATGTAATAATCATGCAGATTAGTGCTAACTTTTTTCCATGAAACATAGGAATTTTGGCTCTTCTTCAGGAAGGTCACAGCAATGTGACTCAAGAGGGTTGGACAACACTTTGTCAAATAACTTTAACCTCAAAACATCTTCCAGAATGAAATTTGGTGGTGGTGGTTGTTTTTAAAGAGAAGAGCAGGGCTTCCTCAGAAGCTGAGGAATGAGTGAAAAATGCAAAACATTTGAAAACCACAATCCCATCTTATCTTGTGGATTTTGTCCACAGAAAAGAGCCCCAATGTTCCACTCAAAATGTTCAACACGGCCTGAAGTGCAACTCAAAACTTAGAAATCAGCCCCTCTTGATTGTCCTCTCTCAAAACTTGCCTGCCGTTCTGCAGGTGCACACCGGCCTGTCAGGGTGGTGAACCTCAAAAGAGTTTACAGAACTGAACTAAGATTCCCCACATCTTTTGGGAATGAGTCTTCAAGACAAAGAATTTGACACATTCTCCTGCTTTTTTTTTTTTTTAAATGCTCTTTAGAACCTTGCTCCTTTGAAGGCTACTCTGTTAGGCACAGTGTCCACAGGTAATACTCACTGGCCAAATAACTGACCTGGACTGAATGATAAAAAGATAATTTTTAAAATAAAACAACAGAAAACAGCCATGAAGGATTTGTTATCCTTTCTACACACTCTACCTGGGGAGAAAGCTAGTTAACTCACAGCTCTAGATCATCATGTCAGTGGTTCTTGGCTTAATATAATAACAAAACCCCAAAACTAATTAAAAACAATACTGCTTGCCATGGATAGTGGTTGACCTACAAATCCTAGCTTGTTATGTCAGGATAGCTTATTCCTGGACTGGTTTAGTGTTTCACTTCTGTATATTAACTAAGAGAAGAAACTAAGCAATGTCCCATTAAGTTAGTGTTACTTTGCTGGACTACAGGATGGATTGAGGCTTGCTCCTAGCTTGTTCGACAAACCACAATTAAAACAAACCCTAAACCTTATGCAATAGATGAACATAGTTGATATGAGGAACCTGCGGAAGAATCCATTCAAGATTTACTTTTGTAAATCCAGGCTACAAAATAATTCTGTTTGCTCTTATTGGTTCCAGTCAGATAAATTAAATTTGGTGGCCCGTGGAAGTCCATGGGACTTAAGTTCTTAATAATCACAAGTATAACATGGAGCATATACAGAATTCTGCTCCTCTGAAGGCCGAAGGGCCAGGAACTGCTGGATGAACCAAACCTGTTCACTCCTTGCTCCATGAAGAAATGAACAGATTTACTTTTCAATAAATACACTGACTGATTCTCTCACCTAATTGGTAACTTGCATCTTAGAACAAGGACTGGGATTAAATCTCCAGTCAGCTCTTTGCTGGCAGCTGTTTCCTTTTCTGCCTCTGAAAAAGTTAGCAATAACCTGTGAATCTAATGCTATATTTAAGTTAGCATGAAAGGTACCATATATTTTAAATCAGCAGATTGTTGTGAAGCAAGGGAACAGGCAATTGCATCACCCTTGAAGGTAAGTAGTCAAACTGTACAGCACTTCCATTCCCTATGTTCAAATGCTGATGTTCTTTCATACTAAAGTTGGTTCGTCTCACTGTCTTGAAGTCTTTCCTGGTCTACAGATGGCATTTTTTTCAGCTTTCATAGGCCTTATGGGAACTGCAAGGGAGTATCTAAACAGGAGCGCCTTCGCAGAATGAAATGAAGATGCTTCAAGCAAGAATAATGGTGGAGCTGTCCAGGGCTCCCAGGTATAACCTGGGCAAAGCTGGCAACCTCTAGATGGCAGCCAAGAGTCGGAGTTCACCGCCACCTGGTGGTCATCTGGATTTCTGCAGGCCAGATCTGGTCACCCCAGAGTTGGATCTCTTGGCCCCTCTTTAGCTAAGAGACATTTTGCCATGTCAGGTCTTCCTTTGGTGTTACAATGCATTTGCACAGCAGTTATGTTCTCATTTTAATTACACTTCTTCCTCTAAAAATTACAGTACTTTTTATCTTGTGAAAAGCTGAGTCTCCCAGATTCAGCTAGGTATCTTCCAGAGACGAATGCGCAGACAATTTCAACATGTGTCTAACTGGACATTTGGGGGGGGGGTGTCACACTTTTGTTAACAAGATGCAGCAAAGTCTTATCACTATCAGCTGGCACAGTTCAGGTTGATTGGCTTTCTTTTCTAGTTTCCCAACCTCAATACAATCCAAAATATTTTCAAAGGTCTCTGGCACACACTGAACAGGGGTGAGCAAAATTCATGTGGTATTACACTAGTGTTTCATCAGCTTAGCCCTCTGATATTCTAAAATCATGTTCTAAATCCTTCTTTTTAAAGCAGTACTAAGTTTAGCTTATAGTAAAAGGTTTAACATTAGTCTCTTGTTATTTAAAGCATCTGACAGTTGCTGAATAGCTCGTGTTGTGGAAAACGGTTGTCCTTTTACACAACTGGGGGGAAATGGCGATTCTAAACTTTGAACACTCGGTGGATGTTAGACATGCCAGACTGAACTAGCCCAAGTCAGATGCCTGACACTTATCCTAACCAATTTGTAGAAAAATCCTTTTGTGATAAAAAAAAAAAAACATTAAGAGCTGATTTGCATATTTACAAAATCTTTGTCATGGTAGACATGCAACATATGGAACATTTTGTTCTATGGCTATTTATGAATTTCATCTCTATATATTGAATCTCCACAAAAAATATATAAAATATAACAAGTATTAAAAACATCCAGTACACTTTTGACAGAAAATAAATTGTAGCTTGTCCTCTGGATTCATTTTGGCTGTCAGTTCAAATTAAATTAATTTAAAAAAAAAAACACTGTCTGATTCAGAGTGTTTTGGTCAGGATTTTAAAATTACAGATAAAACAGCTTTTCAAATATAATACTTAGATTTAGGGACCTGCTTCTTCTTGTGTTGTATTTTGGAAACATGAGTGAAGCCTAGGTATGCAATATATTACTTTATCTGCCTCACATCAATTAACTGCCAGATTATAATTGCAATTCGTGCAAAACTGGTGCACGAAATTCCCAAGGAATCAGGATCTCTTTGTCCAAAGGGATGAATCTCCCGTTGTCTTTGGGGGGGGGAGGAGTGTTTCATGGATAAAAAAAGCTGATTGGTCAGATGGCCCTACTCCCATATCATTGAATTAAGACCCAAGGTTTTCAGGATCAGAAGATAGAGAGCCAGTGAGGCCATCTATTCTTCCCTCTCTCCTCCCTTTGTGCAGATGAGCACAAGAACAGGAATGAGAGTCCTTGAACCAGAATTTAGAATTCATTATGGCGGAAGAAACCAGGATCTGAAAGCTCACCACCAAAAGTGCTTTAAAGCTGACTGACAGTCCTGGTTTCTTTGGCCACGCCAAACCACGGCTGCTGGGATAAATGGTCTTTTTTTTTTCTGTTCTTTCTACTTTCCCAGAGCAAGTGGGACAAGGAGAAAGAAAGAAGCTGTGAACCGCTGTAGTTTATTTATTTTTTTCATTCTATTTTATTCTGGCAAACATTTATGATTGAAACTGATGCGTGGACGTGCACAGCCATTATGACTTGCAGACCCATGGTGCTACTCCATCATGGGAGTGACCTAGGGTCACAAGACCAAATTGGAGAGCCCCTTTTTTGCCTACCCAACCACCCATCCAACCCCATCTGCAAAACATCATGACAGACAGCCCTGAGATGAAACTTGTAGGACTAAGTCCAAGATACAAAGAGTTAAGTCACAGGGCATTAAAGCAGTAAAACAATCCATGTCTCTCTGGACAGTGTCTTCCCTGTTTCCTCATAAATATACAAAATATACATTTCCAGTTTCTTCTAGCCTTATTATTATTATTTTTTTTCTGGTTCTAAAAAGGAGAGTTCGTACGCAGGCAAACCCTTGGCTATTTCTAATGGAAGGAGTGGGTAGTTGGGTTGCCCGTATGTTGCATAGGTGCCCACTGCATTATGAAGAGGCAGCTCAGTTCTGGTGGCGCTTCATGTGCAGGGCCAGGTGATCGGAGCGAGAGAAGCTGCGGCTGCAGACGGCGCACTGGAAGGGCTTGGCGCCCGTGTGCTTCCGGTAGTGGCGGGTCAACTCGTCTGAGCGAGCAAATCTCCAGTCACATCCTTCCCAAGTGCATTTGTATGGCTTCTCTCCTGAAAAGATCCAAAAGGCAGAAAAGTCAGTGAATATTACTGGGTCGACAGGCAAAATTCAAAACTAATTCACATTTTCATAGGAGAATTTCTTTAGGCTAATCATTGCCCCCTAGGGTCACGATGGCTCACATCGTTAGGACATTGGGTTGGACGTTAGCAAGCCCACGTTTGAGACCTAAGTGCTGCCATAGGGAGGGGTGAGCTCCTGTCCTTGACTCCAGCTCCTTGTGGGAACATGAAAGGAACCCCCAGATGGGCTTCCCCTGGGCAACTATGATATCTCCGGCTAATCCAGTGGTTCTCAACCTTTCTAATGCCGTGACCCTATAATACAGTTCCCCATGTTGTGGTGACCCCCAAGTGGGTGTGGCCACCAATAAGAGGGAGTAGGACAGCTAGGGAAAAGTGAAAAAAATGGCGGACAGCGTGGTTTGGCGACCCCCGTGAAATGGTCGTTCGACCCCAAATGGGGTCCCGAACCACAGGTTGAGAACCACTGGGCTAATCCTTTCAACCTAGAAGTGCTTTGTTGCTTCTGACACGATTACTATGCTGTTACTCCCTTATATACCAACCATGGCTTAGTATAGTAGATGAACTCAGTTCATCTACTATACTAAGCCATGGTTGATGGGCTATGCCACAATTGATTAGGTTCACATCACACACGAAGCCAATAACTGTGATTTATAAACTTTGGAGCTATGCATTAAGACAAACCACACTGTGGTTGAGCACATTCTGCATACCTGCCTCGTTGTATGTATCATGTAGAGCTGTCCAAAATCCCTTCCAATGGTGTTTCCCAAGAACAGAGGATATACCAGCACAGTTTCTACCTACCCACCAACTTCCAGACCGCCACATTAAATTCAATGAGGAACTACTACACCGTAGCTTTTTTCTACACAGCCTGAAACCTCTGACACCAAGTATGAGAAACCAGGATAAAGGAGACCTGGACTACTTAAGGACTGAAAAACCTTCTTCAGCAGTTCTGCCCACCTTCAGAGCTTCCGCTACTATGGACACATTGGTTCAGGTAACAGATTCATGATCAAGTGCAGACACCAGCAAACGTCTCTTAGAAGGCCAGAAATACTAAGATGGATCCTCGGGTGCTCTTCTTTACAAACAACTTCTTGTGAGAACACAACTGGCCAACTGGGGTACTGTCAGGGCATCAGTCTTTGATTTGGTAGCTTTTAGATTCCTCGGCAAACCCTATAGAAATTTGTCTCCAACCAATGGCCAAACACAATGGGTTTTATCATAAAGTCAATAAAACATGGGTCAATGGGCAGAGCAGAAAGAAATTACACTTAATGGATTCGGTTAAGGCTGAACTACATGTTCTCCCACCAAATTCCCTTTGGCACAACACTTGCCACAGCAGCCATCTTAGAAGATGCCTCAAAGTTCAGCCAAACCAAACTTCCTCTCCATATTGAATGTTATGTGGAGTCACAAAGGATATTCTACCCTTTCCATCCCAGATTTTCTTCAATGCTGCAAACATCATGGCAACCAAATGTGGACAATTCAACTAAGATTGAAAGATCTAGGAAGGCGGAATTCAAGGGGTGAACAGGCACAGAATCTCAAGCAATATTGAAAACAAAAGACATCCAGCAAAGGAAAGAATGTAAACACAACAGGTCACAACCTGGCTAAAACCCAAGTTAAAACAAGTTAAAACAGAGGAAATGTTAAGTCCATAAAAAGCAACGGGGCTTCAACCAGTTGTAATGTCCAACTTGTCTCACTGGTTCTCATGGGGTTTTCCACAACCAATGGCATCAGGATGGGGGCCTCTGGGTTTGCCATCTTCTGCCAGCTACACCCCTCTTTGCATCTGATCAAGGAAGCAAAGGAACTATGGATAGAACAGGGGATAAGGAGTTACAGCTGAGGGTCTATCTATCACGTACCATCTTCAGGATCTTCAACCTTTTCAATACCTGGATGAAACCAGCACGGAACACCATCATCCCTCCTCAAAAACCCAGATAAAAGACAGGTCCTTCTGCCACGATTGTCTATGGAGATTCTCAGTCATCCAGGATGTGATTGTCTCAAAGGTGTTTTTTGAAAACACAATTGGATTCATAAAGTCATGCCATGATTCTGTCGTGATCCATAGTCTTTTCCCATACAGCCAAGCCAGGAATTTGCAGGGGCCCTTTGCAATCCCAGCCCCTCCCCCCAGAAAAAACCAATTTCTTCTTATCCCTCTAAAATAGGGGTAAGAAACTATGGCCCCTTTATGACCTGTGTACCAACTCCAAGAATTCTGGGAGTTAAAATCCAGAGGTCATAAAAGCAGGGGTTCCCAACCGGGGGGGGGGGGTGCGAGACGATATTCCAGGAGGTGCAAAAACTTGGGTTTTCAAAATTATAGTGTTTATGCATAATTGGTTTGCCGTTATTTTGAACTTTTGTAAGGGGTGCGAGAATATATCAGAAGCGTTCTAGGGGTGCAGGGTATAGAAAAGATTGGGAACTGCTGTCATAAAGGGATCACAATTGCCTACCCCGTGCTTAGACAAACTTTTCAAATTATTATTATTTTGTCCATATGCATGAGATCCTTTGCATTTAAAAACAGCATTTCTGGAAACCATTGACCAGCACAACTAATTTATCGAATGTTACGCTCATTTGCAAAAATTAGGCTCCAGTTGTATCGGGCTGCTGGCATGTTTCTCCAGCACAACAGCTTCCAGGTGATCAACACCTGGAATTATCTGTGGCTTCAGCTGGCGCATGGGATACTTAACACCTTGGAAATTTTGACCACAGATTTATGTAACTGCCCAATATAGATTTAATTGCACGGCTTTACACAGTCAGTTTGGAACACACTGTCACAGATAGCTAAATATATGGGTATTTAATTTAGCAGCCTAAGTGGGATATTTTTAAACATACCTATAAAATTCATAACTATGTTTGTTGAAATGATGGAAGGGTATTCATAGAAACCAAAGACAGGGAATAAAATGTCTCTTCTGAAGAACGAAGGGCGCTGTTCAGTGTGACTCCAAAAAAAATTATGTTATTTATGTGGCCAAACTTCATTCACGTAAATCTACGCTCTCAGATCATTCCCCCAGTTTATGAAGTGCATTACAATAAAACCTGAACACACCCAAAACTCTTTTATCAGTTGCAACTGTCAACTGGAGCTGTTAGAGGGCTTTGAACTTGGACTTAGTTCTCAGGGGAAAAAAAATGCAGCTGGTGGTAAATCTTTCTAAGCTACGCCAGCAAGTAGGAAGTTTGAAGGAACTATTTCCTTGACAGGGAGAAAGAAAAAGGGCTAAATTGGAACCTGGCATACCGCCTGCTTTCCAAGCACAAGATTGGAACTCACAACTTACAAGCATTCCAGTATTTGAGAGGTTGACGCAAAGACACAACTTATTTTCCGAAGCACCAGAAGGCGAGACAAGAAACAATGGATGGAAACTAATCAAGGAGAGAAGCAAGCTGGAATAAAGGAGAAATTTCCTAACAGTGAGAACACTTAACCAGTGGAACGACTTGTCTTCAGAAGTTGTGGATACTTCATCACTCGAGGTTTTTAAGAAGAGTCAGGACAGCCACTTGTCTGAAATGGCATAGGGGGTTGGACTAGATGATCTCCAGGATCCTTTCCAGCTCAGTTCTGACTGAAAATCTACCGTCCACAGGTTAAAACTGCAGACACAGCCCAGGACTAATGCCCCCCACTACAGAGTTCAACGTGCGCAAAACCCTTTGTAATACGCCCACATCGTTCATCCGTGTTATCTAGCACAAACAGAAAAACAAGCTTTTGAAATTACAGGCAGGATTTCTCTGCACGCTTAATTTCAGAGCAAGAACAGGCAACATAGAGAGTTCCTGCCTTGCAGCATTTACAAAGGGAGGAAAGGTGGAGGAAAAGGGGGCTTCAAAGGTGCATTTCCAAGAGGACTTTCTTGTGGTTTATTTTTTTCTTCTCCCTTTGAAAACGTTTTGCTTCTCATCCAAGAAGCTTCTTCAGTTCCGAATTGAAAATGGATGAAAAGCAAAACATTTTCAAAGGAAAAGGAAAACAACAAGAAGTAAGTCCAGATGCCTTTTGGAAATGCACCTTTGAGACAACCATGACCTGGATGATTGACAATCTCTATAGATCAGTGATGGCGAACCTTTTAGAGACTGAGTGCCCAAACTGCAACCCAAAACCCACTTATGCATCGTCGGGTGCCAGGTGGGCGTGGCCCATTGGGTGGGCGTGGCCCATTGGGTGGGCGTGGCTGTGGTGGGAATGGCAGACTGGGCGGGACTAAAAAGTTCAATCAATCAATTCCAACTTTGCGAGATCTTTTTTTCCCCACAAGAAGTTGAAATTGACTGATTGAACCTTTTTTTTTTTTTTTTTGCACACGGCGGCGGAGGCCTAAAGCGAAAAGGTTTTATAAAACCCAGCTGAAGGCCTAGAACTGGGGCGACGGCGCGCGTGCCCACAGAGAGGGCTCTAAGTGCCGCCTCTGGCACTTGTGCCATAGTTCGCCACCATGGCCATAGATGCTTCAGGGAATGGAAATGACTAAATGCAGTGATGTTGTAACCAGACACAACCTGTGGGCATTTTCTCAGTAGTAAAGCCCATTCTCTTTCTACATCCCCATAAGCCAACTGGATAGAGAACAGTTCTGGAGAACACGGAACATAGACTAACAGAGTTGGAAGGGACCTTGGAGGTCTTCTAGTCCAACCCCCCGCTCAAGCAGGAGACCCTATACCATGTCAGACAAGTGACTGTCCAGTCTCTTCTTAAAAGCCTCCAGCAATGGGGCACCCACAAGTTCCGAAGGCAAGCCGTTCCACTGGTTAATTGTTCTCGCTGATAGGAAATTTCTAACTAAGTTTCTAGAAGAAACTTTATAGGAAAAAGGTCTTTATGAGGCACTGACCAGGATGTGACCAGTCAACTGCTATTGTCCTGGGCAACTCGGAAATCCGTG